GTTTTCTCATCAGGATAGACAGTCCGGTCTGGAATCAGCCCTCAGCCCTGAAGGTACATGTTGATTGATCTTAATTTCTGAAAATACGCTCATGCCTTTCAGACCGGGCTTCTCTCTGTCACCAAGAAAAGGGATCTCTTAGCAGAGATGAATCAGAGGGAATTTGGTCCTTCGTAAATGCCCGGTTCTGGCTGAAAGAGAACACCTGCATTCCAGCAGGGCACTGCCAGGGATGAATGGGCTCACCTGTTCCCCTCAGCCCTGCAGGCAGCCTTTCTACAGGGTCCTGGGAGACAGTGCACTGGCAGATGGGCTGTTGCTGGCTCCAGGAACTCTCCTTTTCCAAGCCAGGAGAGAGAAAGCCCAAGGAGAAAAGTCTCCCTTCCGGACCTCAGGAGCCTCCTCATTACACCATCTCATTTCCTCCGGAAAGTGATGGACATAATTGGATCAAATGGAAATGTAAGCCAGCCTCCTTCCCCCTCCCGGGTGAGAGACTTCCAATATGGCTTCATTACCACGTCTATTGTAAATAACTGTGGAGAAAAATGCCATTTGTTCTGCCATAATTGCCTGATGAGCATCAGTGGAGGGGTCTTTGAAACACATAGAATGAAATCATTTGGGGTTGGTTTAGAAATTCCTCTGTGCAAATCTTTCTCCATTCACTGTTCTCCACAGAGGGGGTTTCTGAAGGGGGTCTTCTAGACCAAGGAGCCAGTTAGGAGCTTGGAGGCTGATTCTGGCCAGGGACACACTGACTTGGAGTATTCAGCCACTATTTATTAACTGCTGTCAACTAAAGAAAAAAAAATGAAGCTTTTAAAGAATTAAAATTAGTTTTATTTAGAAGTCTTGTTGAGGATTATAGACCAAGGCCTGTAGCCTAGGAGGAGGCTTTTAGAAAGGTTCTCTCAGACTCCTCCAATGTCGTATTTTAGTTTATACATAGGTGGTAAAGATTTAGTATGTGTAATATTACATCAAGGTTTGGGTGTTAGAGTACATCTGGTTATAGATTACAGAAGCATAGTCACTAATCTTGTCGGACGTTATTTTATGAGCAGAGAAAGGCGAGGACTAGGGTCATTTATCTTTGAGGGAATGTAGTGACTCAGGCAAGGGACATGGGGGGCCATGCGTTCTATCCTGTTTTGCCTTTAAAACATCTTTCCAGATTGCTGCACAGTGTCCCGGAGTCAGGGGCTTTGTGAAATTCTACTGGCAAAGGGAAATGGGCAAACATGGCCTCTTACATTTGCCACTTTATCTCACAAAGTTTTTGGTCATAAATTAATTGTCTGGTTGTGTTGATAAGACTAATATTGATTGCCTTCTGTAGTTAGGAGGGCTCTTGTTTAGGAAGGTTGGTAATTTTTAGTTATAGTTGTATCAGACCTAGTGTGTTTTTTAGCCTTTTCTTGGAAAATATGTTTTGGATTGAATTTAGTTCTCATTAGTATGTGTGGGGGGTTTTTGATAGTGTCTTTTTTTTGTATTTAATACAATATTTTAATAGGATTATTATGAGGACATTATAGATTCTATACAGTAATATATACTTCATAGTAATAAAGTCTGTTGTAGATTGAAAAAATATGATATTTAATAAAATTGGAATATATATTTGTATACTTTTAATTGTATTATTTTTTATACTTATATTTATTAGAGTCTTTTTAATAAAAACCAATGTTGGACTAGAATTTATTGTAAATGCCTTTAGACAAGAATTTAGAATAATTCTAAATAAGTGACAAAAATAGAATAATCACAGTTAAAATTTGATAAAAGTTTTTGATTTTTTTTTTTTTTTTTTTGACACAGAGTCTCACTGGGTCACCCAGGCTGGAGTGCAGTGGCACGATCTCGGTTCACTGCAAGCTCGGCCTCCCAGCTTCAAGCAATTCTTCTGTCTTCACCTCCTGAGTAGCTGGAATTACAGGCACGCACCACCACGCCTGGCTAATTTTTGTATTTTTAGTAAAGATGGGGTTTCACGATGTTGACCAGGTTGGTCTCGAATTTAGTTATTTTATTATATGTAGTATTTTTAAATGATAACCAGAATTATGACTGACAGTGTTATATCAGAACTACTAGACTTTTATACATTTTACATAGTTTTAGAATATTTATAATTTATATAAATATAATTTTAGAAAGGATTTAATACAATAATAAAAATTATGACTCATAAAAATTGGTCTCATAGTGCCTTTTCTGTGCTGGGCCAGGCTTTAGGTACCTGGGATATGGCAGTGAGTGAAACACAAGAAGATCCCTCCCCCACTGACTACACTTTGCTGATAAGCTTGGAATGCCTCAGAATGCATATCAACACCCACCTGGGGCAGCCCTTACCAGTGCATCAGAGTTGGCCAGGCAGGGAGTAGAAACCTATTTGCTATCTCTCTCTCCCTCCTTCCCTCCCTCCCTCCCTGTCCCCCTCCTTCTCTCTCTCTCTTTCTTTCTTTCTTTTTTTTTTTTTAAATGAGATGGGGTCGTGTTGTGTTGTCCAGGCTGGTCTCAAACTCTTAGGCTCAAGAGATCTTCCCACCTCGGCCACTGTTCCTGGCCCTATTTGCCACTTCCGACTTAGACTGTTATTAATTCCATTAACTAAGAGGTTGCAGAATATCCAAGTAAATTAGGAATAATCCCAGAAGAGGCAAAAAAAAAAAAAAAAAAGAAAAAAAAATCCCAGAAAGGGTGAGGCAGAGGTCCATAAAACATGGCAGGTTTTCAGAACAGTCTGGGTATGATTTAAACAACAACAAAAATAGGTCAGAGCATGGGCTTTGGAGTCAAGCAGACCTGCGTTCGGGCCCCAGTTCTGCTTCTTCTGGCTGTGTGAGGCCTTGGTCTCAGCTTTGCTTGCCTTCCTGCTAAAACGGGTATAATAATGGTACCACTCTCCTAAGGCTGTTGTGAGGATTAAACCAGTCAGCATTTGTGAAGGGCTCGGCACACTGTCCTGTTAGCTATGATCAGGACTGAAATTCGCTTGTTACACACTGGAGTGGATGCGCCATTGTTTACAGCTGGTGTCTGTTCCGACTGTATGTGCTTGTTTCATCAGAGTTGTTACATATTTTGAATATTACCCTCTTACGTGAATATTAATTTTATTTGAGGGGGCTGGTCTCCTTATGGGAGACAACTTCAGAACTCTGGTGGTTAAAATAGACATAAACTGGCTCACACCTGTAATCCCAGCACTTTGAAAGGCCGAAGTGGGTGGATCACCTGCGGTCAGGGGGTCGAGACCAGCCTGGTGAACATGGCGAAACTCCATCTCTACTAAAAACACAAAACATTAGCTAGGCGTGGTGGCGGGCACCTGTAGTCCCAGCTACTCAGGAGGCTGAGGCAGGAGAATTGCTTGAACCCAGGAGGCAGAGGCTGCAGTGAGCCGAGATTGCACCACTGCACTCCAGCCTGGGCAGCAGATTGAAACTCCATCTCAAAAAAAAAGAAAAGAAAAAGATATAAACTGCTTTGCAAACCTAAATAACATCAGTAGAATTCTAGGTTTTTTTTTTTTTTTTTTGGCTAATCAAGAATTTATGTTCTTCAGTTCTGAACTACTCAACCACTGTTGCAGATAGTAATATTAATGTGTCAATAATAATCTTCAGGATAATTTATTAAGACGCACCTAATAAGCATGGTCTCACTTAATCCTCTCAACAACTCTGTGAGGATTAACATTTCATTAAACCCATTTTATGGAAGTAGAAACTGAGGCTCAGTGAGGTGACGATTCCTTGCCCAAGATCACACAGCTGGCAGGACATGGCAGAGCTAGGATCTGATTTTGGCACTCTAGCGCCAATACCAAAGCCTTAATTCACTGTGCCTGACAATGGTCCTTTGCATTGAAAGTTGAGGCCTGACTCGGGGGCATCAGAGTTGTGTATTCACAGGGTCATTTCAGTAATGGTGTTATCTGTCCCTCGTGGGTTGGGGATATGCCTTAGCCAGGGGTCTAAGCTGTTAGAAGCTGACTCTGACAAGCCACAAGGGCATGGGTCAAGCTAACCCTCCCCTCGGAAGGTCCAAGCCTTCACTTGAGAACAAGACAGACTCCCACAAATAAAGTGGAGAATGCAGCCTTGGAAGTTTGCATTCTCCACTTAGGTTGCTTAACTAGTTATTAGTTAACTCTCCACTTAGTTTGCTTAACTAGTTATTAGTTAACTAGTAACTCCTTTACCACTACTGTCAGAAAGCTTCTAGAGCCCATAGGCTGGTCAAGTAGGTTACAGTAAGTATTTACTCACTGAAACTTGAACAATTTCTACCAATTATTAATTGCTGGTCATGTTCCCAGGTTGTGTGCTAAGCACTTTCTAGACATGCTCGCACTTAATCTTCACGATAGCTCTGTAAGCTAGGTAGTTATCATGATTCCCTTATTTCAGATGAGGAAAGAAAGCTCAAGGGGGTCATCTAACTTGCTCAAAGTCAGATAGCTACTGATGATGGAGTTGGGATCTGAATCTAGGCCTGTGACTTTACAACTGGAGCTTATGCTCACTGGTCTTTGTCAAAGTCCTAGAGCAACAGGTACAAAAGGGAAAACTTGAGGGGGTGACCGAGAGCACTCCTCTAGACCTACGTATCCTGTTTGGCCTTCCTAGCTTCTCTGACTCACTGCTTATTTGCTGGACATCTCAATCTCAGACCCGCCATCTTGAGTAGAAACAAGACCTTATTCCAACATCTTAAGAAGACACAAGGCAAATGCCAGTCAGAGCTGTGGTGAAGACCAGCCTTTGGCAGCTGGAGGGTACTCCCCTTCCCTCCCACACCTCCCCCCCGCACCACAACAAAGAGTGGCCCATGAGCCCCTGTCTTCTTCACCTGATGGGCTGAAGGGCTATAGAACCCTGAGGCCTCCAGTCTTTCCAAGCTCAGGCAGAAGCTGAGGCGCCTACTGGGACAGGCACTCAGGAGGCTGTGCCAAGAAGGGGGCGTCCGGAGGGCTGGCTCACCTTGAAGGAGATTTCATACTGCTCCCCTCCCCAGATCTCCAAGCCTGGGTCATACCCGCCCAGCTCCCAGAACCACTTCCGATCCACGGCAAACAGTCCACCGGCCATCACGGGAGACCTGTCAGAGAAGAAGAACACGGCGTGAAGGTGCAGATGTCCTGGCCGCGTGCTCCCTGATAACGCCGTTCCCCCAGTGACGGTGTTCCATGATGCTCCCTGAACACAGCCCAAGTGTCTTCCAGGGAATCCAAGGCCCTTCCAGGTATTCCCCTTTCTTGCCTACAACTTCCTTTCATAAGAGCTACATTTTAACCAAATGGGACCCGAAGTTCCTTTACACAATTAACACCTAAGAGTACTTGTGAAATGAAATCACAGTACTTTGTCCACATGGGACCTGTAGCTGCATCATAAATATGTACGTGTTAGTCCTCTCACTAAATGGTCCAAGTTGGTCTCTCCAAGCGTGTCTGTTACAGAATCTCTTAGAGAGATGAAAAAATATACAGCTTGCTGGGCCCCACCTCAGACCTGCTGAAACAATCCCCGCAGGAGGGAGCCTAGGACTCTGTTTTTGAACATGCTCCTTTGACAATTGTTACTCAGCAGGCCCGGCATGGACGTTTGTTCTGCTGCGGTGTTTACAGAAGAAGCCACCGTTTCTGTCTTTTCAGTTAAACTGGGAGATAAGATTAACTCCATTCATTCATTCTCTCATGAGTTTGTTCATCCCGTGCCAGTTGTGAGGGAGGTGCTGGAAGAATCTCGAGGTCAATCAGTCCTTCAGGGGATAGTGGTGTAGTGGGGCAGCCCCCTCAAGACTGAGGGTGCATAAGGGACTCTGGGAGGCACACACAGAACATTATAGGAATCTGAAAGGAGTGTGTCTGTTTCCAGCTTTTGGGGTAAGGAGGATGGCTGGGGCAAGGGTCAAGGAATGAGGCTCAGGGGAGATGGCATTTAAGTGGTTTGGACAAGAGGAAATTTGGGGGAGGGAAAGGCACTGAGGGGAGGATAAAACAACGTCAGCAAGGACACAGAGACGACAAATCATGCAGTACCCACGGGAACAGGAAGTCCGCCTGGCACCATGCTAAGTGAGGAAACGTCATGCTGCTGACTGCTGGCGTCCCCCAGGGTATCTCACACAAGACTGGCACCTGGTAGGGGCCAACCAGCGTTTGCTGTGTGCAAATCTATCACAGTGGCTACATCCTTGTCTGGCTCCACTGGAAAACTCCAAACCCTCAAATCCAAACATTCCAGCAGCAACCTCCATTCCCCCTCCTGGTCCTTGGAAGTGCAAACTCATGGGACGTGGGCCGATCGAAAAAAGCCCTTAGTCAACCCACAAGCTGCCCAAGCAGCTCATCCTTCCAGTAGCAGATGAGCCTTTACAGCACAGGCAGGACTCCTTTAAAAGGGGAGCCCCTGAATATTTACTGAGGGCTTGAATATGCCGGGTGCTGTATTGAACTAATTCATTAATATTTCATGTGGCAGGCCTCATTATCATCACCATTTTACACATGTACAACTGGAGTGCAGACAGGGAACTTGTTCAAGGCCCCATGGCTACAAAGCAGCACTGCTGGGATGTGAATCTCTAACCTAAGCCACAGTTCACACCCCTCGCCACCACAATATACTGCCTCCAGGCAGGCAGGAACACTGGAGGAGCAGGTGATGCATGCAAAGAACAGGGCATGAGAATTGGGAACCCTCACTCTCATTTCTGCTTTCCTTAACCTGCTGTGTGACCTGAGATGCAGTGTTTAACGGTTAACCCTGCGCTGCCCAGGAAGGAGGCCACTGGCCACAGGTGATGACTCCGTACTTAAAATGTTACTGGTGTGAACTGACATGTGCTGTAAGTGTGAGATACACACCAGACTTCTAAGACTTAGGATGAAAAGAGTATGAAAGAACTCAATAATTTTAAAGTGTTGGTTACATGTTAAAATGATAATATTTGAGATATACTGGTTTAAATAAGATATATTATTAAGATGAATTTTGCCTGTTTCTCTTTACCTTAAAAAGATAGTATCACATATGCGGCTTGTATTATATTGGACAGTGCTGACTTAACCTCTTTGAGCCCTATTCCCCATCTAAACAATGGAGTGATAGCTATACTTCCTATCCCACACTGCTAGTGATATGTTGGCTGCGTCCCCACCCAAATCTCATCTTGAATTGTAGTTACCATAATCCCCAGGTGTCATGGGAGGTACCTGGTGGGAGGTAATTGAATCATGGGGGCAGTTACCCTCATGCTGCTGTTCTCATGATAGTGAGTGAGTTCTCATGAGATCTGATGGTTTTATAAGGGGCTTTTTCCTCTTCGCTCAGCACTTCTCTCTCCTGCCGCCTTGTGAAGATGTGTTTGCTTCCCCCTCTGCCATGACTGTAAGTTTCTTGAGGCCTCCCCAGCCATGTGGAACTGCAAGTCAGTTGAACTTCTTTTCTTTATAAATTACCCAGTCTCAGGCAGTTCTTTGTAGGAGTGTGAGAATGGACTAACACAGCTAGAATAGTTCTAAAAGTACCCAGTACTATAAAGAAATAAGGTATTGACTCCCCTTTGTCTTCTGGAGATTGGGGGGGTCCTGGTTTTTTTTTGGCGGGAGCCACAAATCTACTGCCTGGAAAGGCAGACAGTGTTTCTGACTTGGTGCTTCATGGGAGACTGAAATCGAGGCTTTGCACATGAAAATCAGCCTGGGTCAAAGCAGGGGCAGGGGCCGAGGAGCTGCGCGGAATAGGCAGGATATCAGCCGTAAGGCATTTGGGATGCTTGAGGCTTTGCCTCCAGAGAGAGGCCTCTCTGCCCAGCCTGTTCCGGTTTCTGCTGTGTTCGGCAATACTAGTTAACAATTCTGAGGGTCCAGTGTGTGCTACTCACTTTACTGACACCATCTCTAGCTCTCACAAAGCTCTAATATTAGTCTCCTTTTCGGATGGAGATATTTGAAAATCAAAAATGTTAAATAATCTGCTCATAGTGAGTGGATAAGCTATTACTGAAAGTGGGGTCGGCCATTGAAACCATGTCTTTTAAACATCCTTGCACCATGCTGTGCCTGTAGATTGCCCACTTGCTGGGCACTCTACCATCAAGTGGGAAGGTGGGAAGCTGTGTAGAAAATGACCAGAATTTCTCTAGTGGCCACTTCCGAGGGTTCTGTCCAAGTAAAAAACAGGAGAGAGACTTCTGGAAGGAATCATGGGAGAGGATGGAGGGCCCCTCAGAAAGCATCTATGCCAGTGACTGTCAACCATGGCCACACATCAGCATCACCCGGGAGCATTAAAACACAATGATACCTGCATCCCACCCCCAGACTCCAGTGTGATTGCTCTTGAGGGAAGCCTAGGTGTGTTTACAAGCTCCCCAGGTGATGGGTCAACAGCCAGTGATCTCTGGTCAGGCCAGCTACTTCAATATCCAGATGAGGAGGCTGAAGCCCCAGAAGGCACTAGCTGGGCCTTTGCTACTGGCCAGCTGTACGACCTAGTCTTAACCTTTCCTTACTGTGCAACGAGGACGACGATGGGCCAAGACCTGTCCTTAAGTACCTTTCAATGAGTCCGCTTATTGCAAAGGTTCAAACAATAAAGGAGGTTCCAATTACCCCCTTGGTTACCCTGAAAATTCCATTTTCTGGAGCAGTCTATTCTACCTCAGCCTCTGCAGTCATGTCAACTGGGACACGTTTTGTTTCCTCTCTGAACCACAAGGCCTCCATCAGTCAAATGAGGGTAATTCTACCAACACCTGAGGATCCTACCTTATTGTGAGGATCATGCACAATAATGTCAGTAGAAATTGCTTTGCCAACACAGGCCAGATGTTAGTTACTGCTGGTGTTGGTATTATTCTACAAGGATTTAGGTCAACTGAGGATTGATTCTGAGGTATACGGAAGGTGGAGCAGACTGCATAATGTGATCGTGGCTAAATCATATCTTTGGGCCAGAAAGGGATCTAATAGTAGTGATCCACTGTGTTTAAGATAAAGGAGGCTTGGCCGGGCGCGGTGGCTCAAGCCTGTAATCCCAGCACTTTGAGAGGCCGAGACGGGTGGATCACGAGGTCAGGAGATTGAGACCATCCTGGCTAACACGGTGAAACCCCATCTCTACTAAAAAATACAAAAAAAAACTAGCCGGGCGAGGTGGCGAGTGCCTGTAGTCCCAGCTACTCGGGAGGCTGAGGCAGGAGAATGGCGTGAACCCGGGAGGCAGAGCTTGCAGTGAGCTGAGATCACACCACTGCACTTCAGCCTGGGAAACAGAGCGAGACTCCATCTCAAAAAAAAAAAAAAAAAAAAAGATAAAAGAGGCCAAGAGAAGACCACAAATGTTTGACCTGCTGCTGGAGATGTGGAATCCACTCTTGCTCTCCACTCTTGGCTCAGGCTGGTCCATTGTCCTGGCCACCTTTCATTTCCTCAAAGAAGCCCAGCTCTTCCTATCTCTGAGCCTGCCCTGGGGCCCATAGTGTTAGGGGTTCCTCTCAGGAGCCCTGGGTATGTATGTACCATGCCCACGAAGATGGCTGAGCTTCCAACAGCCCTGCTTCTCAGGTGGGGAGGGTAAGACACAGAGAAGTGTGGTTCACTGGGGGCCAAACTGTGGTGAGAGGTGTGACTCCCCATTTATGGCAGTGTCTGAATCTCCGGAACCTGTGAATATGTTACCTTTTGTGGCGAAAGAGACTTCACAGAGGTGATTAAGGTTAAGTACCTTGAGGTGGGGAGGTTATCTTGGCAAGCCTGATGGAATCACATATCACATACATCACAGGGCTTGTAAGTAAAAGGAGGCAGGAAAGTCAGAGTCAGAAAGAGATGTGATGAAGGAAGCAGAGGTGTGAAGGAAAGTGGGGAGAAGGAAACAGATCTGAAGATGCTATACTTCTGGCTTTAAAGTTGGAGGCAGGGGCTATGAGCCAAGGAATGTAAGCATCCTCTAGAAGCCAGGAAAGGTAGAGAAATGGATTCTTCCCAAAGCATCCAGAGGGAATGCAGCCCTGCCGATGCTATGATTTTAGCCCAGTAAGACTCATTTCAGGCTTCTGACCTCCAGAGTTTTAATCATCAATTTGTGTTGTTTTAAGCTTCTAAGTTTATAGTAATTTATCACAGCAACCATAGGAAACTAATACAGCAGGAGAGCTTGGGCTTGGGCTTTGTATCCAGAGATCTTTTCCACAACTGTTGCAGGAGAGCTGGAACAGCTCACAGGACAGCTGCAGGGACGGTGAGCCTACTATTGGGGAGAAGCCCTTTCCAGAGCTTGGAGCACCAGAGAGGGGCTGGGCTCTATTTCCATCTTAGCCACTCACAGAGCTCCTCCTTCTGGAGCCTTAGTTCCTCATCTGCAAGGGGTTGAATTCTTCATTGGTAGGTTCCTTCCAGCCTTCACATTCTAGGATGCTATGAATCCAGTCCATCACCCTCCCCCAGCCTGCAAACTTCTGCTGTGGGACAAACTGTTAATTTTCCTAACACTTCCAACTGGGTATAACGGTATGATGGGAAAATTGGCTCCAGAAGCAGGCAGACAGACCTGCATTTGTACCTAGTGACCTGGGCAAATTACTTAGGCTCTTGGAGCATTGGTGTCCCCATTTGGAAAACATGGATAATAATTTTCACCATATATAGTTGTAGGGTGTTGAATTGGATCGGAGAGTAATGTGCTTAGTACTGGGCTGGGCACCTGGTGACGATGATGGTTATAATTGCATGCCAGGCTTGAGGAAGAGAGCATGAGAGACCACTCACCCCCGCTGGCAATGCTGGCAAACTGTGCAGAAGTGGGCAAGGTGGAGACCAGCCTGGTGCGCCATGAGCTGAGGTTGTTGTTACAAGCTGGGAGGGATGGTGCTTCTGGCTGGGGATATCTGACACTTGGTACTAAGTGGGGCTGGGAAGCTGGACCCTCTGCATTGGGCTTTTAAGGGAGATGGTGATCCTGAGTTGTGTGCGTGTTGGGAGCAGTCATTGGGTAGCCACTGGGACCAGCCAGGGTTGTTCATACTTACTCAAATGGGTCGCTGGGGTCAGCTTTCTGCAGTTCTGGAGGGATTGGGATCCGCTTGTAGTACATCTCCCAGTCAAAGGCTCCCCGCATGGCATCCCCTGCCTGTGTCTCGTACCGAAAGTCATCATGGTCAATCACGTCAATCATCGGGCACACAATGGTCTTGCGGTTCCGAGCAATGCGGTCTGAAGAAGCCAAGAGATGCCTATCAGATGAAGCAGGATGGGGGAGCAGCTAAGTGCACCATCCTGTTCTGCAGCTTACTTGTATTTTTAACATCTCTGAACCCTCAGTTTGACAATCCATGCAGGGGAAGGGAGAGTGCAAGCTTTAGGCAAGAGGGACCAGGGTTCTCATCTCAGTCCTTTTACTATCAATGGGGCCCTAAGTCAGCTGCACAAATAATATCTCCAAACCCCAGTGTTCTCCTCTGTGCAATGGGTTAAGAAGAGGCTCTGCCTCATAGATTACGAGGACTGAACACAGTATGTTTGAAAATGCTTAGCATGCATGCCTTATTAGCCTAATGATCAGTACCACTATGGAAAAAGATACGTTTCCTTCTGGGAAGGCCCTGTTCTAGTCCTGCGAGGCTCCGCATTCCAAGTCCTGAGCTTGACTTACGGCCCAAAGCAGTAGGCACCCCAGCACTTTCCTTCATAGCAGACTATGTGCCCCTAGCAGCTCACTGGCACCCTAGGCTGTAATCAGTGCAGCAAATGGCCCTCCTTGCAAGAATTCAGCTCAACTTTTTCAATCATTGGAACTATGGATGGGGGAATGAACTGCCCCAGGAAGTTTGAGCCCTCAAGACTGGAGGTTTGTAAGCAGGGCCTGGTGGACCATCACCCTGCAGGGATGCCAGAGGCTGGGTGATTCCAAAGGCAAATGGAGGTCTTGACCTAGATGGCTTCATAGTCCCTTTCAGGCCTGGCAGAAGCTGATTCTAGAAAATTGAGTCTCTGTCCAACCTACCAACGTAATTCCAGCTTTGGTTTGCTTTGCCCTCCTTCTTTGTGCCAAGAAATCCTGACCACAGCCAAGGGGTAACAGTGAGCTACTGGGTCCCCAATCTGCTGTGGGGGACAAGTGGACTGTGCTCAGCGCCTGGCTGCTTTGGACCAGAAGTCAAATTTGAGGCTTGGAAATGGGAGCCTGGTAGGGCCAGGGCAGTCAGCAGCTGCCTGGGGCCCAAGCTTCCTTCATCAAGTGATAGCACATTTTTCTTCCAGGGGAGAAAACAGCATTTTTGCTTTTTTCTAAACTGCAAGGCACGATCCATAGGTGGGGTCATGGAATTGATTGTGTGTGCATTTGTAATGAACCAAAAAACAATGCTAAATATCAGGCTGCATTTCAGGTGATAAGGGATACTGTGACAGGTGATACTCTTTCAGGAACATGTTTCAGTTATACTGCATGAGTGTGTATATCTGTGTACTGGATTGAGATGCCCAAGGTATTTCTTACTGGGGCACATGGTTTAAAGAGTTTGAGAAATACTGTTTTTGGCAGTGTACCCCCGAATGTGGATCAGGGGCCATCAGTGCCAGATGCCCCTGGGGGTGTGTTTAAAAAACTCATGTGCCTGCCCCCGACCCAGGCCCATTGAATCAGAATCTCTGGAGGCTGACTTGGATTTGCCGTGTGGACAGATTGCCCAGGGATTCTTAATGAAGCTTAAGAATCTCCTCCAGGGAAAGATCTAGAGTAGGGCCTCCCATCTAATCGTTCATGGCCGTTCAGCGGACTTCAAGTCCAAGAAGGGCTGGGACTGAGGACACAGTGCCCTGCTGGCTGCTGGCTGACTGTGGGAGGCATGAGGTCAAGGTAGCTTTGGAAGGCAGTGTTCTAAGGCACTGTGCCCACCTGGGGACAGAATGCCCAGGCTCAAATCCTGGTTTTCTCACCTCTTAGCAGTATAACCTTGGATAAGACTATCTGATGTCTCTGAGCCTCCGTTTCCTTGCTGACAAAGGGGAGGAAGACAGCACCTATCTCATGGGGCCTCTGTGAGGTCCGAGTGGGATGACAGAGCCACGGTGCTCAGTGCAGCCTCTGGCACATAGTTAGCACTCGGCGATGCTCTCTGTGACCAGGATCACTGAGGGCAGCTCAGAAGCGGGAGAGGAAGGCTGAACATCTCCCTCCCTCTGTGCCTCTCGGTTTTCTCGTTTGCAAAAAGTGGATAATGATGCCTGGTCTGCCTGCCTTACCAGGCAACGGTCAAATTCAAATGTCAATGTGGCTGAGAAAGTGAAGGGGTTCTGAGAGCCATGATGATGATGATGATGATGATGATGATGATGATGAAGGAAATGATGATCAACAGTGGCTTTCCATAGGGGAATGAATCCTTCTTAGGCTCAGAAATGTGTGTTCTCCAAAGGAGGCAGAGTGAGCTGTGCACGGAGGTGTTAATGGTTTCACAGACAAAAGCCATGATGCGCTCTGTCAGCTGCTGATATTAGCAGGGACAGACTTTTAAATCTACACTACTGGTCCACATTTCTATTGGAAGAAGCAAAAAACAAAACAACAACAAAAAACCAACAAGGGGATGTTTCTTCCATGTATGTCTGCAGATTATGAAAATTGCCCTCATATATTTCCATAGAAACAGAGTTAAGGGCTATTTAGACTACAAGCTCAGCTTCGAGCCCCACCACTTCATTCTCTTTATGAGTCACTGAATGACCCTACAAATGCGTTGTTCCTTCAGGACTATAAATTAGGCAATTTATGGTGAGGCTTTTTTCTTTTTCTTTTTTTTCTTTCAGTAATAAGAGGCAAATGCAGAATATCTCTTGGTTTAATTAAATAAACAGTTTACCAGAAATTCTGGGTTATATCCTTTCCCCAGCCCAGTGAGATTCTAGACCCTTGGGGTCGGAAGCACAGAATCGAATAAGAAAGTTCCTTGCTGATCTGTGTTACAGATTTGCGGGATTATCTTTCTGTGTGTTTGTGTGGGTTCTGCTTTCTGTCCTCTCCCTTGAATGGTGGCATACCCTAACCAGTGCTTCTCAAAGTATGGTCCCTAGACCAGCAGCACTGGCATCACTGGGAGCTGGGTAGCATGCAACTTGTGAGGCTCCGCCCCGGGCCTCCTGGATCAGAAATTGTGGATAGGGGCCAGCATCTGTGTTTTCACAGTCTTTTAAGTGATTCCGATGCACGCTCAAGTTTGCCCTAAACTTCAGTCCTCTTTGCTCCCTAAGCTTTCTATAGTGGAGAGCTTACCCATCCTTTCCTAAGGAGTTCATTTTTCTCTCCAGATGATAACTCTTCCCCAGTCTGCCTCCAGCCCTGGCTGTGTCCTTCACCTGACTCCCAGTCTCAATGGGACAGTTCCTCTTCCGTGTCTGCCTGTCAGAACCAGCACACTGCCCTCATCAAAACCGAACTCCTCAAGATTCAGGCCTGATTCAGGCATGTTTCACCCAGCCTCCAGTCTTCCCATCTCCCATCTGTCTGTAGGCTGTGGTGGTGGGCTCCTGGATCATGCTGCCCTCTCTACAGCCCTTCCCTGATATCTGCCAGGAACTCTTGTCTAAGAGGAAGTGAATACAGGGAGGCAATGTAGAACTGCGAAGGAGAAGAGACTTTTGAGCCCGACAGATGGTGACTTTGACACTTATGGCCCAAGGGGACAAGCAAGTCATTCAACATCTCAGAACCTTAGCTTCTTTTACTACATAAGGGGTATACTTATGACCTGCATGATTTTGTGAGAATTAGAGATAATGCTTATAACTGCCTGGCACGCAGTGGCAGCACAGTCTATGGTAACTCTTCTAAGTTGACATGATGATGACCCCCACAGTTTGGCTATTAACAGCAAACAGCATGGGCTTGCTTTGCAATAAAATGAAGTAATCTGAGGAAAGCAGTCACGTCACTAGATGCTGATATGCTGTGTGACTTCGGGTAAGTCAGTTCCCCTCTCTTGAGTCTTAACTTCTCTGTGAAATGAAGGCACAGGACTGGTTGGATTTTAACTTTGAGCACTCCTGAGCTTCTGAATCCCTCATGGCACCTGGCATTGTGCTGGGGGCATCTGGAGCAGGCAAGGGAAGCCTCATGGCTGGCTCTCTGCTGCAGGAGGGGGCCACTGGCACAGGCTCATTGCAGTTCGCCTCCCTCCAAGTGGGAAGGGCTTCCTTACCAAGCAAGGGGGGAAGCCAGTTGACATTGGCTTCACAGTGTGAATCCAAGAACGTGATGACATCCCCAGTTGCCACTGAGGCCCCCAGCATTCGGGTCCTTATCAGCCCTTCCCGTTTCTTGGTTCGAAGAATTCGCACGCTGGGGAAAAGAGCCATGTAGTCTTCAAGAGGCTTCTTCAGGTGCTCTATGAGACAGAAGAGGACAGACGGGTGAGAACAGTTGCTTAGTAGTCATCCTATGACTGCTCCCTTACATGTGAACTGCACTTCACAGTCTAGAAACAGCTTTCCTGTACACTGCCTCACCAGACCTTTCAGACAGGGTGAAGAAGGGCAGGGCTCATCACCTGTGTACTACAGATGGAGAAATTAAGGCTTAAAGAGGTCCAGAGATGGTGCCACGACCTGGAACCTTTCTGTCCAAGGGTGTGAGCATTTGTGGTTTATGCCTGACTGGGAACCATTCCCTCATCTTCTGGTAACAATATTTTTCTTTTTCCTTGGGGCACTGCCCCTTCCCTTCTCAGTCCATTAGACTTTGGTGGGGCTGATTCCATTCCATGGGTCCAACATGTGGTATAGGCCTGACCAGTCAGGGCATTCCATTCCCTTGGCCACGGTGATTGTCTCAGGGATGGCCATGTGACCTTAGTTGGTCCAAATAATGGGTCCTGAGAATGTTTGGTAGGATTATTGAAAAATGAGGCCCTTTCCTTTTGCTAGTTGGTTGGCCCTAAGTTTGGAGCCACTGGTGACATCTTTGGTGAAATGAGGTGATGAGAGGTGGTAAGCGAATATGATGAGACTGAAGCCAACCTGTAAAAATAGGAGTCAAGACATTGGAGAGAGAAAGACATTGTCCTGATGACATTTCAGTTCCCTAGACCCACGTGCCTGAAGCAGACAGACTCCTAGATGCTCTTATTACACAAGACAGCAAATTCCTCTCCTTGCTTATCCTAATGTGGGTTGGATTTCTGCCCCAAGCCTGGATAAATTGTTTTAAATAAATATCAAAGACAGTCTATTTCTCCTAAAAGTCTCAGCCTCAACGTTGGTGTCTCCTGATTTTAATCAGGCTTGGTGTCCTTTATGAAGACCCTAGGACGGCTGCAAAAGAAACCTACAGCATACGTCATACTTACTGATGAAGTGTGGAATGCTTTCCTCCTCTGATCAGGAGAAAAGCTGTATGCTTTTACAACATCTATTCAAAATTGTGCTAGAATTCCCAGCCAGTGTAATTGGTAAGAAAAAGAAAAGGCATAAGGATTAGACATACAGCCAGTGAATTCCTGGGTTTGCTGTGGAAACATGATGGTCTCCTTCTTCTAGCTGTGTTTCCCCAGTCAGTGACAAACATATACTACCATCTAGATTTTTGCCACATTGATCTACTTCACTACAATTTACTTAGTTGTTTTAAAAATCAACTAACTTTTACAAATTAAACTTTTTATTAAATTTATTTTAAAGGGAAACTTTAAACACCATAGATGAAAAATTGGTATCATTTTTAATAAAGAGCTAATAATTAAAAATCTCTAACAAATAAAAATTTGTTGTAAGGTTTTAGATTTCTACCAGATACTGCTGCCTCTCCACAACTGTGAGCTTAAGGTCTGCCCTCTCTTTGTCAAGCAGGGAGCTGTGGAAAACCCACCAAGGCTCCTCATTTCAGGTGATCAGAAGAATGAAAGAGAATTGAAAAGAGAAGGCTTTCCCTCCACATGATCCAGTGTTACTTTTAATGCAAAGTCTCTGAACCACCTGTAATCATTTTAGGTGTGACTTAAAATCACTTTTGGGCCAGGTACTGTGCCTACAATCCCAGCACTTCAGGAGGCTGAGGTGGGGGATCGCTTGAACCGGGAATATTGAGGCTGCAGGGAGCCATGATCGAGCCACTGCACTCCAGCCTGGATGACAGAGCGAGAACCTGTCTCAATGAATGAATGAATGAATGAATGAATGAATGAATGAATGAAAGAAAGAAAAAAATGACTTTTACGTTGGTACACTTAGGGAAACACTGCTTCCATCACTGTGATTTTTGTCACCAGGAACTTCATTGAGATGAAGTGTGTTTCGTGTTATGTTGTCTGGCATCTTGTAGGCAGGAGAAATTAGAATACAGAGAAAAGATTATCTACGTACATACAATCAGAAGCTAGAAGGCTAAAAAATGCTCCAGGTCTCTTCTTGCTTGTGCGCAAAGATTAATATGGCTTCCCTCGCCCTTTCCCACTACTCTTTGGAACAGTGACTCTGTAGAAAGCAGAAATCAATTTGCCCTAATTGAGGGACTAAATCTTTCCAAAGGAGACTTTCTTGGGCAACAAGACAAGATAGCAAGAGGCATGATCACACTCCAAATATGCTGCTGTTCGGGCAGGAACACTATGTTTGAAAAAAGAAAAAAATCCATAGTCATTGTCTGTGACCACCGCTTCTTCTTGGCTGGGTTCAACTGATAGGTCATTACGACGAGAATGAGATAATCTCCTGTACCACACACCACTACTCCCATCAGAGGGAGAAATATCACCCTGGCCGGCTCTAATCATTGAGGCCCCCACTTGGGCAGAGCCCTATCGCTAAATCACTCCGAACGCAGATGGCCACAGTCATTACAGAGTGACCAATTAAGGCCTTTTGACAGCTTGTGGTAAAGTCAGAGCAATTATTTAGGGGCAATTATGCTCCTTATTAGACAGTGCATTTATACAAAATCAGGACTGTTGCTCTATTTTACCACACTATCTTCCTGGATGAGGATATTTCATAAAGTCATACAGTTTTAGATCTGGGAGGGACTTTAAATGAAGATGATGATGATTATGATGACAATTATAGGGAACAATTACAGAGCCCCTGCTCGCATGCAAAACTCCTTATTTCACCTGCATTATCTCTGATACCCACAACACCACCACAAACTGGGTACTATAGAAGGAGATGCCGAGGCTCAGAGTGGAGGACATGAGCCACTCAAGGAACATAGTTTATAAATGAGGATGCCAAAGTCTAAGACTCACCCTGCTTGATTGTAAAAGAACAGGCTCTTCCTACTGCACCAAACCTCATGTCTGCCTCGCTTTAGTCAGTCCCTTCATTCTACCCAGAGAAGAGCAGGGAGAGTCAGAGAAGTTAAATGTCTTACCTAGAATCAAACAGTGGGTCCTTGACACAGCAGGATTATAACCCAGTTCAGAGCTTTTTCCAGCCTCAGATTTACCCCAGCTTCATAAGCCCTAAGGCAGGGCTGACAACCTGCGTTCACCAAAGTGCCCACACTGATGGGTTTGGAAGGTACACCTAAAGCTCCGTTAAGAAAGATTCTGAGGCTGTATCCTGGCTCAGTATGAAAGTGTCAGGACTGAGAAGAGATGCCTCAGCGTCTGACACAGCATCCCTAATGCCATATACTCATCATCCCTATTTTAGGGGCTGCCCTGATTGTAAACAGCACAGAATTGTTTTTATCCTTATTACCCCTAATTTAATAAAGATTCAGAGCCATCAATAGACACTGAGGCTGATTCTGAAGGTGGGAGCGCCCATCATTGTAAGGCATTACGCAGGTGTTAGATGAGCACTTGTCAGAGAGCTGACAGATGGTTTCTGCGGCACATGCATCTGGTGCCCCACCCATATCCCCTCTCAGCATTTAGTCTCATGCCTGCCTGCCCACCACCTGCCGGCATCTGCCATTCTTCCCCAGTGGCTGCACAGGTCCATGTGTCAGACCTCGGCCAACAACCCCCCAAGCTCCCTCGCCCCTCAGGTGGGATGACACTGAACACATACTCCACGCTGGCTCCCAGAATTCCCAGTGGACCATGCATAGCCGCCCGCAGTGCTGCCTGTCACAGGCACTCTTCCTGGGGGCCCCTCTTTCTGTTCTCACGTACCTACTTTCTTGCTGATATTTCCTGGCATCTCCTCCCAAATAAACTATTTGCACTGTCCCAGGATCTGCTTCAGAAAACCCAAACTCAGATTCCAAGGAGCAGGCATGACTTAGAAGATCTCCGAAGCTGAATGCGTGATTCCATGAAGCTCACAGTGATAACTTCAGCACAGCAACATGCAGTTCTTTGGTGCCCACTTTCTCCAAACAATGGCTAACATGTTTTTAGTACTCACTCAAACCACAGCCCCAGAAGCTTTACACCTGTTTAATCCTTTAATATTCACAAAAACTCTATGAAGCTAGTCACTAATTAGTATCCTCATTTTGCTGATGAGGAAACTGAGGGCACAGAGAGGTTAAGTAACTTTTCCAAGCTCCACACAGTAAGTGGCAGGTATCGGATTAAAACCCAGGCGATCTGGCTCCAGAGTGTAGTTTTCTTTGTTCAACTTTCAACATTAAGAATCGCCGCAAACATAGTTTTAAAAAGTAGAACAGAATGATGAACCTCCCATGTGCTCATCCTTTAGCTTTATGTCTCTTGTTTCATCTCTGTCCCTGCCCATGGGATGATTTGGAAGCGAATGGAGTCTGTACTTGTAACCACCAAGCTGTAAGAGGAGAAGAGCCCAGGGGATTAATGGAGAAGGATGTAACATCTTCAACTTGTAGAACTCTTGCTCCTCTCCCAAGAACACTCCCAATAAGTTATCTCAGTGTTGGGCAGGCAGTAACTTCTCAGGAAATACTTGATTATCCAACTGGACTCCTCAGAGCCAATGCAAGGAGGATGGGGCAGGCAGGTAACACCACTTCTGATATCACTGGAGAGAAAACGGAGACCTAGGGAAGGGAAAGCCTTGCCCCAACTCTCTCAGCTGGTGAGGTCTGAGTGAGGCCAGAACTCAGAGCCCACGCTTCCCACAGTCCTCTCCCTACATGCTGTCCTGAGTGTGTGCACGTGTGTGTGTACACACACACACACATACACACACACACACACACTGTGGTGTGTCTGGGGCCTGTGGCTCTCTTGGTTCCTGTCTTAAAGTGGAGCCTCTTTCTCCTATCTGGTCTGAAGGGTTCTTAGGACTCTGATGATGGTTCTACCGGGTTGACTGTGGCACAAGGAGGAGTTGTTGTGGCTTGAATCATATCCCCCAAAAGACATATTGAAGGCCTAACCCCTGGTGGTTGTGAATGTGGCTTTATTTGGAAATAGGGTCTTTGCAGATGTAGTTATGTTAAGATGAGGTCATACTGGATTAG